GAACAACAGGAGATGGGAAGATAGGCTCAAGGGAGTAGGGGATTCACAGAGGCTTTCTCTTTCCTTTTCTTAAGATGTAAGATGGGAGATACTTAGGCATGCTTAAAACCACAGCGATCATCTAGTTGGGAGGGAGTAGTTCGACAATCTGGGGAGACATGGGATAATTGAAGTATAAGTTTCCTGAGAACATGGAATCCCCAAAAGGGAATCTGTTTACAGCATCTCCCAAACTTACCTGATGGACCAACTCCCTTCATGCAGAGTTTATTTTGATTAGTGTTCTGCAAAAAGCACTGGGCCCCTAATTAAGTCAAGGGCCCATCCCTAAAATGAGTATGGCCAAGGCCATACTTTGATTTCAGCCAATCAGATCATTTCTTCTGGAGCTGGGGGTGAGATCAACTCCACCCAAACTAAGTGTCTGAGAATGAAGAAGGGCTAAGTTGTAGAAATGACAGGTTATTCCTAAGTGAGAGATACCCTAGAAGTGACCTCTAAACCAGTTGAATGATGGGGAAGATGGACTTACCAGGTGGTGTTCCTTCTCTCCTGTCACTCTTGGTAACAAAGATCTTTGAGTCCCACTGAAGCTTTAGTATATGGAGTTCAAAGAATATGGTTTAAACTCTGTAGAATTAAGTATAGCAAGGGGTTAAGAGCTGGCTAATTCTAGGGTTCTCCTTTTTCTCCAAAGACTCAGGGAAACATCTAAAACCACTGTTAGGAATTCAAGAAAATCCCCAACACAGAAGGCAGGCCCATGCCTGTTAAATCAGAGGTGATATAGCAGTTAAGCAAGGTCCAGTCTCCTGGGATAAGTGTGCATTTATTAGCCCAACAGATAGCTGTAGGGACCTAACTGGAGAAGGAAAGATAGAAACCATTCCATTCCAGGGTATGCCTGCTTTAATGTGTTAACGTATTAGCTGGGGAGCATCACTAAAGATTCAGCATACAGTGGAAGGCTCGTTCTCCAGGGCCCTCAAGATTCCTTCTTCTTGCCACAGGTGATGGTACAATTTGGCTGGGGGTTTTTCCCCGCCACCCTGCCTCAATTCAGCAAAGACTTATGGGCACTTACCACATATAAGTTGCCATGCTGTATGCTAGAATGTAGTAGCATTGTCTTTTGCCATTCGTTTGATCTCAATTTTGTGATCCTTTCTGAGAATAGACTGAGTCAGAAAGATCAAAGTGAGGGTGGATTCATCTGCTTATTATCTGTGTGACTTTAGATAAGTCAGTTTGCCCAGGCCTCAACTTCCTCTGCTATAAAATGGTAATAGAAGTTCCTAGCTCAAAGGATTGTTGCGAGATATCAAGGAGATAAGAAAAGAGCTTAGTACATAGTAAGCACTTGCTTAAAAGCAGCCATTACTTTATTACTCAGTTTTGGTCCACTTATTCACACAATAATCCTATGATGTTGACACTATGATCTGATTTCACACAACTTCCTTGGGTACCTATTATGCTCTAGGTGCTAAAGATGCAAAGTGACCAACAGAGCATTTAGACCCAGAAGAGAAGGAGTCATCATTAGAGAGAGAACTCAGAGGATGCCTGAGCACCACCAACGTGCATCAAGGAGGAGAGCTGCCGACTGGAATGAACACTGCGAGGCCAGTAAGGTAAGAAGAGGCCCCAGCGCAGTTACTGGCTTCTGCAACATGGAGTTTCCAGACTGACAAGAGAATGCAGAAGCCTGACCCAGACTGACTGGAGAAATTGGAGTTGATTGAACACCAACTGCAGAGAATTCGCGAAGTCTTGATACAAAGGGGAGCAAACAAAAACGGCTGGAGGGAGATGTGGAATCAAAGAGATTCTTGTTAAAACTTTTTTTTAGGATAGGAGATAAAGGGACATGTTAATTTTAAGCTGGTGGGAATGATGCAGTATGGAGGGAAGCTGGTGACTAAGAAAGCAGGCTCCAGAGTGCAAATACAGGAGTTAGCTCTGACAGGTGCACAAACCCTTCATTCAAAAGCAGGGAAGACCAAGAATGTGGGTAAGGTGTAGAGTTGCTGGTAGACAAGAGGGCTCCTGTCTGATTGATTCTATTATCTCTGTGAAGTATGAGGCAAGCTCATCTCCTTGGAGTGAAGGATGGGGAGGGGCAAAGGAGGAAGACTGAACATGTGGGGGGGTTGAATATAGCAGGGAAATACAGGATTGCTAGGATTGAAGGCTCTCTTGAAATTTGTAGACATCAACTTAAAGTGACAGCAGGCACTTTTAACTTGCCAGCAACATTCAGATATTCCAATGTAGGCAGAAAGTAGGGGAATAGTTGGGCTTAACTAGGTTTGGGAAAGTTAGGAGAAAAGAGAGGGGCAAAGGGGTTACAGGTTTTTGCAAGGAAGCAAGCACAGTGTTCATTACTAAGCTGAGTGAGGAGGGAAGGTGAGTGTGAGAGGGAAGACATAAAAATCTGGCACAAAGGTTTTCAGGTCTTGGTGAGGTTAAAGAAATTCTTGTGTGTGATACTACAGTAAGCAGGTTAAAGTCACACCTGAGATATCTGAGATTGTGTTTTCTGAGACACTGTGATTACTGGTGAGAGCAAGTCCAGGGTGAGACCATGGAGGTAGGTACCCAGTTTTGGGGGGTGGGGGTGGGAATCATTGGTCGGGAAGAAATAAGCAAGGAGTCAATAAGATTTCTGATGGGTTAGGCTTATGGATGCTGACATCATGAAGAAAGGTGCAGGAGAGGTGGAGGTCAGTTCATGAGAGCAGAAAAGAGGTGGCAGGTGGAAGACCACGATAGCAGGAATTCAAGGGGTTCGGGATTTTGAAAGAGTTGGGAGGAGAAACAGTACTAAAAATATTTATGGTTCTTGTCTGCCTACCCAAAGCCCCTTGTAAGCAGCCATGTGTAATGCCACGTGCACCCAGGCTCATAGCAACAGTTGATCGGTGAAGGGGTGGGATCTGACCTATGGGCCAGCCCATCTGTATCCTGGCCTGTGACCTGTCCAATAAGCTGTCATTATTAAAAGATAAGATGGGTCAATTGGATTCTTTGGGATTTGAACTTTGAAAGGCAAAAAGAATTTGCCTATTAATAGAGCAAGGTGATGCAGAGAATAAAGTGGGGGCAATGACCACCAGGATGGATCCCACCCACACAGGCTGAGATGTTGAGAGAGTAGTGCTAGGAGCAAGCTAAGGATGACAAGACAGTAAAAGAATGCAGCAGATTCATCTGCAGAAACAGGGATGTATGACAGAGATGAAGTAGCCTGACCCTGAGCCTCTTATTATGAGGTAACTTAACTTTCAAAAGTTTGTGAGCAGGGAGGCAACCTGATCACACCTGGGGTTATGAGTTGTGGGCCCTGATCCCAGACTGCCTGGCTTGGAACTCATTAGCTATGTGATTTTGGACAAGATACTTAAATTAACCTCTGGGTGCCTCGGTTCCCTCAACTGAAAAATGTGATGATAAGAGCACTACCTTCAGGGTTACAATGAAGATTAAATGAGAACACACAGGTAGTGTATTTTGAAAAAGGCTTCCTTTTAATCTTATTTTCTTCAAGTCAACAGTTATTTTGCCAAACTTTCCCTCATTCCCTCATCCCTTGGCTTCTGAGAGAATGTCTTGCCAATGGGTTTCAGCCCTGGGTAAGTTTGCTATGGATTCAATGTGACCAAAGAAGTGACAATAAAACGTTCTTGGGGTGAAAGAGTCATACCCAACTTTATTTCCAGGTGATAGGTCAGTCACTAAAATCCTGTTGACTCAGAGTGAGTCTGCAGGCAGCAAGCCGGTCTCTCCTCTTGCCTCTGGACGCCTCTGTCTGCACAGCCATCCTCTGGGCCTCTCTGCCTCTCTGTACAGCCGTCCCACACAGCTGTCCTCTGGGCCTCTCTGCAGTCGTCCCGCACAGCGGTCTCTGGGCCTCTCTGCCTCTCTGTACAGCCGTCCCACACAGTTGTCCTCTGGGCCTCTCTGCAGTCATCCCGCACAGCTGTCCTCTGGGCCTCTGTCCTTAGCGCTGCCACCACTCCAGCCTCTGCTCTGCTCTCCTGCAGCCTTGCAGCCCTGCCCCCCTGTAGAGCCCAGAGCACTGGGTGGAGCTCTTTTTATAGAGTCAACAGCCATATAGTGCCCACAGGTGTTCAGTGAGCTAGTCAACCACAGCCAGGTGAGAATCCTGGCCACAGGAGCTCTCATTTTATCCACAGAGGAGCACAACTTTTCCCGTGCTCGACTTCCATATGCAATGACTTATCATCTCTATTTAATTCTCCAATAGGTGTCTCAAACATAATTTGCCCCAAATGATTCCTATCTCCCACTGACAAAAACAACAAAAAACGAAGCACACCTGCTATTCCTGCAGTCTTCCTTGGATCACTACCAGGTAGTTTTTCGGTGTTGATTAAGCTAAAAACCTTAGCGGCCTCCTTGACTCCTTTCTTCTCGTGCCCACGTATATAGTGCTTCGTATACAGTGGGTGTTCAATAAATACCAAGTGAAAGAATTCCAAGTGCCAGTCCCTTCTCCGAATTCCCCTAATACAAGTCTGAATCATACCTGCATCGTCCTTACAGCTGCTTTTACCAGACTACTCGCTCCCTGAGGATGGGAGCCTAGGATGTAGCCTGACTGTAGTAATTCCTGTCATTTGTGCAACACTTTACAACACCCTCACAGGTGGCCTGATTTGATTCTCAGAAAAGAGGGCAAGCAAGCCTGGAAAGGCAGGTATTATTAGCAGTGCTAGCATTCCAGGTCTCCTGCCTTCTAGACCAAGTTCACCAAGTATTGTTCAATGAGAGGGGTGGGATGAGAATTTGAGTCACTCTGTGGAGTGGGGCAGCCCCACAGGACAAATGGGCTGCTTTTCTGTAACACAACTTAAAATACTCTTAACGCCTAGCATTTATTGAGCCCAGGTTTCTAATCATTACCTGTGTGGTCTTCACAGCTATCTTGCTGCAGGTAGCCATGAAGGCATCTCTACGTCTTCTTCACCTGTTATCTTTTGGTACCTCACACAAGGCTTGGTATATAGTAGGAGCTTAATAAGCTCAGTGAGTGGAATGGCCTGAGGTCCTTTTTTTTAAAGATTGGGCTCAGGTGCAGCGTCGTGCTCCAGGTCCCCACGTAGCAAGTGGTAACGGTGCGATTCCCTCTCAGGTTCGCCCCACTAAACTCTCTCCGGGACGGGCCGGCTCACGTGCCACGCCAGTTCCGGGTCCGCCGCGGGAGGGAGCGTGTGCACCGGGTGTGGCGGGGAGACAGTGTCCCCTGCCAGCCCCTGTGCCTTCCGCATCCCCGCCCGGGAGGCCCGTGGGCACTGTCCTTCTGCCGCCATCCGCTTCTGCAGCCACAGAGCCATCAGTCAAGTGTATGTACGGGCGGAAGCCTCTTCCCGGCACTGACCCGCAACCCTGCCTAGTTTCCGGCCCCAAGGCTCAGGCCCCAGGCCGCGGGACCCTTCGCCCCCGTCACGCTCACCCGGCCGACCACCGCGCCCGGCCCCGCCCAGCCTGCAGGTCCCGCCCTCCACTTCCTCGTTTGGCGCTCCTCCCCCCGCGCCGCGCTCCATACTTGGCGATCGCCGCGGCCCGGCGCGTTCATTGGCCCGGAGTCGGCTGCGTGGGGGGCGGGCCTCGGCCCGGCCGGGGCGGGGAAGGAAGGTGGCGGCGGCCCGGCGCTGGGGGAGGGGACGCTGACCCGGATGTTCACTCCTGGGCACCCGGGGAAGTGGAAGCGCCGGGCCCTGCTGCGGGGGGGAGAGCCACGGACTCCGGGACCGGGACCGCCGCCGCCGCCGCCACCATGGTAAAGGCCAGACGTCACCCTCCCCCAGGGCCGGTGGCCCCGCCGGAGTTCGTGTCTCCTTCCCCCGTCGACTCCCGGCCCGTAAAGGGTGGGTCCCCTGGGTGGGGGAGGGGAGGGGTCCCGGAGCCCAGGTAGACACCGTCCCTGCCCACTCAGGAGCGAGCCCCCGGGCCCGGGCAGTTTGGGTGGGCAGCGACCCTGTCGCCCCCTCCTAGTCCCCGCCCTAGACTCCAGCTGGAGGCCCACTCTCCACATCCTCGTCTTCCTCATAGCCCAGGCGTAGACCATTCTGGACCCTGGTCCAGGCCCGGCACCCCCTCCGGTCATGCGGGCCTGGTTCCCCGTCCTCCTGTCCACGGCCTGGGCTAGGCATCCTCCCTCCGGTCCTACGGCCCAGTATTGGCCGTCGTTCCTACCTCCCATGGCCCAGGCTAGGTTCCCTCCCCGTGGTCCAAACTAGGCCTCTGCCCCCTTCCCCCTCTTCTCCATGGCCTCAGTCTGGACCCTCGTCAGCCCTTCCTCCAGTGGCCTCAGCCTAGATTTATTTCCCCGCTTCTCCATGGCCTCAGCCAAGGTATTAACCTGGCGCTCCCCTTCTTCCGCCCATGGCCCCCGCCTAGTCGCCCCCCGCCCTTGATCCCTTTCCCTTGGACTTCTCACGACTCTTACCGTAGCCTGCGTTAGCCCCGCTGTGTCCTGGGCTTTACCTTCTTCCAGGGCACTGCTCCCTGCCCTGTCCCCGACCCAGGTCGTCCTCTCCTCTCAATCCCAGGCGAACCTTCTTTGCTGCCCCTGGGAAGCGAGAGGAGGTCTTCAGCCCAGGGAGCGAGTTGGGGGGTCAGTCCTGGGAAGGTCAGTCCTTCTTAGGTTTGAAGGTTGCCCTTTCTGGGGAGGCCGCCTGAGAATGAGCAAGGGAAGGTCGGGCTTCTGTGTCGGGAAGGCAGCGCGGTTCTCTGCGGCCCTTCCCACGGGCGCGGTGCTTGCAGAGCGACCCGCCGGGCGGCAGATTCCCGCGGCGCCGGAGCCTGAGTGGGAGATGACGGATGAGGGTGGGGAGCTGGCAGGACTGGGATGAACGCACAGTCGCCCTGTGAGGCCGCAGCCCTTGGCGGGTCCAGGAGGCCCCGAGGCCAACATACGGCCTGAACACCATGCACCCCAGCAGGCGCAGCCTCCCTTTCCCCCTGAACTGTCAGCTAGTGAGTGTTGGAACTGCTGATTATGGAGGTGCTTCGGATCAGGTGAGCCAGACTCGAGGGAGTGAGCAAGCTCCACTTGTGGTGTTTGTTTTGGTAATGAAGGCAGGTTCTCTGCAGCGCTCCGACTGTCCTGAGGTTTTCCCTAGGCCCCCAAACGTGAGCCTGCCCTCCGTCCACTTTGAGACCTTCTGCAGGGCAGGCCTTCTGCACATTGGAAGGGCTGAAGGGCTTTTGCCCACATGGCAAGGAATCTTTGGAGAGTGGGCTGACAGAGCTAAGGCTGTCCACCTGCTCCTCCTGCCCAGGACAGGCAGATATTTTTGCATATGGACTTTGGGCCCTGAAGGGTTTTGAGGATCTTATTTAAGGATTTACTTGTTTAATGAAAGGGATGTTGCTGTTGAACTAGGGTGATTAATTCAACTGATTTTCTTGATGCCTTCCTGTATATTGATTTAAAATGAATGTGGCATTGACATTTTTAATAGCACTTTTGGAGAACTGGCTGCATGGGGTGGTGGCCCAACCCCAGGCCTGGGTGGGGAAGACCTTCTCCAGGACAGTTTGGGGCGAAGACCTTTAAAGTGGAGTGAGGTTTTACAGATTTGCTCTCAGGCCAAAGGCATGGGAGGGTGGGTGGGTGACCAGGTGTGGCTGCTTTAGGCAGCATATCCAGCAGAGAGGCATCTTGCCTTGGCCCTGGGTGCCTGCTTCTCCAAGTGTGATAGGGAAATGCCTATAATGACCCAGGAGGGGCACGATGACATATGAGGCTTCTCAAGGGTCTTGTATTTGGATCTGATTTGGAGAATCTGAAAGGACTAACTAACATTTCTTCAGGAGCCCCTAGGTGCCAGGCACTCTGCTGTGTGCCTCACCTGTATGAGCACATTTTATCCACACAGAGCCCTTTGAGGTAGTTGCTGTGCAAGGGGCTCGGGGTGTGGAGTACCGTACTCAAGGTGTTGCTCAGTGGAAGCACATCTGGGAGGTGCTTGCTGCTTCTTTCACATTGTTCCAGGCTACTTATGTGTTGGAAGATAAAAAAGGCACTTTAGAAAATAGTACTGGGGTACTTGGAGATGGCACGGGAAGAGCGGCATCTCTCTATTGCTGATTGTGCTGGGGCCTTTATGTAGGGGATTTTGTTTAGCAGAGAAATGGGAGTATGGGAATGCAGGCATATTTAGTGTGGGCCAGAATGGGAGCTCTTGGAGGGCAGGGGGAGTTTTTTGTTTTAAATGGTTGTCCTGTCTCTCTGGGGCCTAGAGTGGTCATGGCACTGAAGGAAATGGCTTAGAGTGTTCTCTTTCGGGTGTGTCTGTGTCTGTGAACCCAGCCACTTGGGTTTCATACTCATTCTCTCAGTAACTAGTTCTTAGTATTCCCTAAGTTTATAAGTAATTTCAGACTGCATATTGACAGGTGTATCCCCTACATGAATACTCTTGACCAGCATAGATAGTTGGGGTAGGACAGAAGTGGTGTTTGTTCTGGGTTGTGTAATGGGAAAACGAATTAAGACCACTATAGATTTTTCAGTAGGTTCGATGATAGCAAAAACAGATCTCCGTTATCCATGGAGGAAAGTAGCATTTTGAGAATCTAAAATGCACTGGCCATTGGAGTCAATTCCCTGATTTTTGTTGGCATCAGTTATGAATGTATAGGCAAATGGCATTCATAGGCAAATGGAATTCATTTGCACTCCCTTAGCAGGAAATAATCTTTACCACTGTAAGTGCTATACAGTGTCAGAGCACTTTTCCTGACACAGCTCTGGCTTCTAACTTAGGAATGATTACTCTAACCTAGAGTGCTAGATGGTGGAGCTATAGCAGTGAAGGGACAGGCAAGCCTCCTGAGGAGTTGTCCCTCCAGCTCACAGATGGTTTTGCCTGACAGCAGCTGAGAGGAGAAGCCTGTCATTGTTACAGGGTGAACAACTCTATTGACGCTAATGTGTCTTGGCTGGCTCCTGGTGTGGTGAGGTATATAGCTCAGCTCTGACCCCACCATATACAGCCTTGTTCTTTAAACCCAGCTGGCCTCTGGTAGAATGCTTGAAAAAAGTAGCCACCAATCAATAGCTTGAGATTGAGATGATAAATCATACATTTGAAAGCATATATTCCTTTTTATAGCTTGGAAGTTTATACTTCTTTTACATTCCATGGGGGAGGGCAGGGGACAGACTGACAGCACAGGGAAATAGGGGCTGGGCAGGTACATTGACCCTTGAGACTTGGGCTTCCCAGGCCGAGCAGTGGTTGCCAAATACAGAGGTGTGGTAGGGGGGTACCTAAAGCCACAAGATAACTTCAGTTCACTGTGTATTAAGTGCCTGTTTTACGTGCCAAGGATGCAGTGATGAGCAAGACAAACAGGTCTGTGCCCCTGCAGCTTACATTGTTGAGGGGGGCACACCACTCATACCTACAATTAAAGGAGGAAGAGCCTCGTTTCATGTAACCGCAAGCACATTTACGTGAGATACAGTAGGAGACTCAAGAAAAGGTTGGAGCTCGTGCCACGCATCATTCCGAGACCATTCAGAGTGTGCCTGCGCTTGTCCCTGCCATTGCTGTGGCAGTGAATTGCCACACAGTCTGTCCCTCAGCAGACCAGGCACTCTCCCGCCCAGTAGTGTAACCTTGTGGTGCCACGGAAGTCCTGCCCATCTAGCCTGGCTAGCTACCAGTGATTGAGGATCCCCTGTGATCTGGAGACGTGAGTTAGATTATACTTCATCCCCCATTTTATTTACGAAGAAACTGAAGCTCCAGAGGTTGAATGACTGGTGTGTGTGACAGGCCTGGGACTTGGATCTTGTCCATCTGACTCCTGTGCTGGATGGTCACTCTGTTTCTCAGATACTGAACAGTAGGGCCTGTAAGTACAGGATCTTGTCCCATTTCTCCTTGCTGCAGCTCCCACCGGTGAGAGTGGGGTGTGGAAGTCCAGAGGATGCAATTGCAAGATCACCTGTATTAAGGCCAGTTAGAGGAATACCATTTCCAAACCTATGCTTTTAGAGAGTAATGTTTGAGTGTAAGGAGGTAGAGACTTAGGTTTATAGGGCACCAGTCATGTGCTCTGCACTCTGCTAACAGCCTGACCAGGAAGGTTCAGCCTTAGGAGGGAGGCACCATAGAATAAGAAGTTAGGACTTAGGAGCCAGCTGCGTTGTCCTCGTTAGGCTGTTAAGAGGAATAAGATGGTATGTGTCAAGGGATTCCAGTGGCATCTGGTGCATAATTATGTACATAACTATTATTGTCATTATTGCCGTTGTACAGATGAGGTTCAAAGGGGTCCCTCTACAGGCACTAGGTGGACTTTCTGACTCCAGAGTTAGCCCCCTTCCTTCACTCCTGACTGTCTTCTGAAGGCCTATTTGAAGTTTGCTTGACTTTGGATTATGCCTTGAAGGAAGAAGTTCCCTAAGGGAACCTGGGGCTCTACTTCCCTACAAAACGTAAGGCTCCCTGAACACTGGACACCACATTTGCCACAGCTTGATGCTCTATCTCAGGTCTGGATTCCTGATCTGTGCCTGGTGGAACCCCTCAAGAACTGAGTCCTTGCTCAGAGGAAGCAGGGACAGGAGTGGGGACAGAGTACGTGAGTTTCCTGAGAGCAGGGACCTTGTCTGGTTTCTGCTAAGTACCCCTTCCCTTGCACTGGCCCCCTGGTGCCTGGTAAGTGCTTCATGTACTGAATGAAAGCATGATGCTGAGCTCGAGAGGTGGCTGCCTTCTGTTTCCTGCCTGCTCCGCAGAGCATGGGCTTTGGGGTCGGGTCAATCTGGGTTGGGGGCCTGTCTCTGCCACTTAGTATGTGACCTGAAGTGAGGATCCTAATCTCCTTTGACCTCAGTTTTCTTGAAGTGTAGCATGAGGATAACGTTTTACAGAGATACTAGGAGAAAGAAGTGAAAATTGTACTTAATCCAGTGCTTAGCACACAGTAAGTTGCAGCTGTAATTATTATCTTTCTCATGCTGCATACCACAGAGTTGGGGATACAAATAGAAGCCATAATACCTGTCCTTTGTTGTGGAAGGGGAGGCAAGATGTGTCAGAAAAGTTAAGTGGAGCAGGAAGGAAGTAGTAATAATAATAGAAAAGATTTAACAAGGGCCACATGTCTGCCCATCCCTCCAGGCTCAGCTTGAATGCTCCCTTCTCCACGAAGCCCTGCAGCTCGCTCCAGTCCGTTCGGCTTGGGGAGTGCTGTGTGTGAAGCACTCCAGGCAGAGAGGATGGGCGAGGGACAGAGAGGCTGTTCCAGGCAGGGGCCTGTGACAATAGCAGAGGTCAGGGGCACCGTCAGCCTTGTGAGTTTGGGGAACCACCACAGGGTAGACAGGTTGAGTGGAGTGCCTGATTCTCAAGAGAGAGTTGAGTGCCTGAGTTGCTAAGCTAAGGAGTTTGCATTTGATCTGGGACAGTGTGGAGCCAGTTATATTTCTGACAGGGCAGGTAAAAATTTGAGGAGGCTGGCAGAGAAGTGGCATTTTAGGAAGAGTCCTCTGGCTCTGGTGTGCAGGGAAGACCACGAGGTGAGAGAAATGAGCAGGAGGCATTCACGAGTGTCTGCCTGTGAGGTTACGGTTCCTGCTGCTGTACAGCTGAAGGTGTGAAAAGGAAGTGCTGGTTGAGAAAGATAAAGATGGGAAGACAGAGTGAAATGTCGTGATTTACCGCTTCTAGGGCTGACAGGGTGCTTCTGTCCCCAGAACTCCCACGTTGAGGCACTTGATAGGACGCTTTGTCAGTGATCCAGCCACCATTTCTGGTTACCTTAAATCCTAGATAGTTGTGTCTACAAAGCCTTGATATCCTATTAACAGCTGAGTGGGAATTTTTAGTCTGGTTAGCCCAGTGATGCATCCATCAGTTCAGCTATTGTCTGTGGGTAGGAAGAAGAGGGGGGCAAGATTGGGGATACCCAGTATCTGCAGGTTGCACCAAGTTCTGCTCAGCTTGCATGGCACTGGGCCCTGGGCAAACAAATGCCTAAGACAAACACCCCAGCTGCTGTGCAGAAGGGGCCGCTGCCTGGCACCTGTGAAAATGGGAGCTTGTTTTCACTGACTGCTTTTAATACCCAAAGTGCTCTGTGAGGCATGTTTTCACGTTGCCCTTGTTATGCAGGTGAGGAAACCTGCCCTCCCCTGGCAGTCTGACTCCAGAGTCCAGGCTCTGGACCCCAGGCCCCGCTGCCTCTAGTGCTTCTTTCCATTGGGTAATCCATTCCATGGCTGCTCACTGAGAAGTCACTTAAACCTGTTAGACGTGAGTCTTACAGGCAGTGGAGGAGGCAGATGGCAACAGATGAATCTAACTCTGATGACACAGGCATAGCAGAACCAGCTTGGCAGGAGTCTGCAACGCAGGCGGGCTTGGTGGGCAACTACCTTCCCTTCTCCCTGCTTCCTCCTGTTCCCACCCCTTGTATTTCTGACATCTCTGGAAACCTGTGAAAAGGAACCTTCATCTACAACTTTGGGGTGATCAGTCTCCAGGTCAGTAGTCCCATTTCTTCTAAGGCAGCAGCCCTGGTGGTAACCATCCACTTGCCCCTTGAGGGTTATTGCGAGGATTTGAGTGAGTTGATGTGTGGCAAGTGTAGAAGGTGCCTCGCACTTGGTAAGTGCAGCAGGTGTGCTGGCCGTCATCATTATTTTTTTAATATGAATGGTTGATAGGTGATGTTTCATTTAACCCCCCAGCCAGCCTGGAAAGCAAGTGGTAGCCCCCTGTTCTGCTGGACTCCAAGAAGTACAGTCCCTTGCCAAATGCTAGCAATCCTTACGGGCCAGTGTTTTCTGGCCACCAAGATCTTACCATGCTTGCAGATCGCAAGCAGTCATCACCTCTGGCTCAGACCTTGAACTTTTCCATTGACTGCTTAAACTGCTCTGTAAAGCTTCCTTTTCTGGCACCGAACTCTGAGCAGGACCCTTCTGAGTTAGGGTCTGCTCTGAAACCATTATGTTGTTTAGCATTATTTGGGCTTACTGTCTCTTTGAGATTTCCATAAGTTTGAGGCAAAGGACTTTTTATGTTTACCGAGTGAAATATCTTTAATTAAAAATACTAAGGTTGTGAAAAGATGCTTTTGCACGTACTCTCTGTATTGGGGTAGTGAATAGCAAGCAGCCTCCTGTTGGCACTGAGCGTTTTTCTTGGTAGTACCAAATGCCCAGCCTCTACTCGTTTCTAGCCGTGATCAGTAGATGGAGAGTTCAGGTCTGGCTGCTCACATTTGATGTCACTACCAAGGCTTCTTCATTATGAGTCTCTGGCCCTGAAGGAGTGTGTCTGATTTCGTGTGGATGGGCTTTCCAAAGAATGGCAGTTTTATGCTCAGAAGTGGAGAGGCGGAGCTATTATCCCCTCTGCTCTCCTGGTGAAAAGTCCAACTTTAGGCACTATGGCCCCTGAAGGAGCCACTCTTTTGAGTTTCTCTCATCTCTGGCTTTGTTTTTATCAGTCCTGTGTTTCTCTGCTGAGCTCAGCTTGCCAGTGACCTCCTGGTCAGTGTGTAGTCCCTGGGGCTGGATGTGGATCCATCCTTGGGTGGGGAACACAGACCCTGACACAGCAGTGGCCAGGCGTGGCCTCCTTACGTGCTTTGCTCTATTGAGAATTTCCAACGTGATCTGTCCTTTCTGCAGAAGGTCCTGGCTTGAGATCTCTTGCAGCCATAGTGGGTATGGGCCCCCTGGCAGTCCTGCGATTTGAGGCATCTGACCTGGTCTTGGGGAGTGCACTCGGGGAACAGGACTTGGAGGTGCCCTGAGATAGTTTTCGTTCTGTAGATGATTGTTTCCTTCTGGGTTCTGTTAGGCTCGACAAAGCACCTTCTTCCTGCCAGTGTCTCTGCTGGACGCACACTCACTATCTCTAAATCTGTCACTCCAGTCCTATGAGGGCTGCTTCCTTGTGCAGATGAGGAAACTGAAGCCCAGAGAGGTTTAGTACCTTGCTGAAGAGTTCCCAGCTAGTTAGTGGCAGGGTTAACATTCTGTGGCAGGTCCATCCCTCTCACGCTCATGCTTCCTGAATTCTGCCCTCCTGCCTCTTGCATGGACTCACCAGGATGCTTATGCTCTAGATGAGGGAAAGGAGCCCAAGAGAAGTTCACCTGCAGGTGGCTGAAGAGGTCTGGGGTTAGGTTAGAAATGAGAAGGTTTCTTCGGTTCAGGCTGTTGAAAGCAGATGGAGCTTCTGTGCTGCAGTCTCGTGTTAGGTGCCTGCTAAACCGTGAGGTATTAGGTATGTCTTAGCCTACCACCAGGAGGGGTGTGCCTTGGCACTTGGGCACAGCAGTTGTTTTCTCTGCACATCTTTGTCATTCTGACAGCCCCTTGTTGACAACGGTCAGTTGATGAAGCCTTGCAGGGTCCTCTTGGCTTTTCCCGTAAAGCCCTGTTGGCAGCCCCGGACACTACGTCAGCATCAGGTTGCAGGGCTTCTGAGGGGGAAGAGCATAATGCCTGTTTAGTCGTCCTGTGACCTTGAGCAGATTGAGTTGATTACCCCCATCATGCCTGGTAAGTTGTTTCTTATACTCAGGAGAGGACAGACTTGATAGCACTCCCACCCCCAGAGTGATGATACTGCCATAGTAGTGTTACCACTGTCCCTGGCACCCTGGCCATTACTCTGTGGTGTTTGTTGAATGAATGAATGTCCAGTAGGTGCTTAATAAATGTAAATGCCCCTCCCCTAGTTAAACTAAACTGTGTGAAATTGCTGTCTTCCTAAGTCAAAATGGCTGAATATCAGCATTTCATGTGGTTCAGCTTAATAGACTATGTACTATGTATGGCAGGGCGATTCTAGTATGAGATTTTCCAGATCTCCCTTTGGACTTGAGCTCTCCGCCAGACAGTGCTTCTCATGAAGTGTTGGGCTCCTATTCATTCCAAGTCACTTCAGGGAAGAGTCAGGAGAACTAAGGTGCTGAGCAGGGCCTGCCTCAGAGATTGGGTCAGGACTAACTTTCTGTTGAGGCCACTCCTGGCATTGAAGGCTGCCTGGAGGTGCCAGGAGGTGGTGGTAACTGAGCCGACATTCATTAGTGGCTGTGCACATGGTGGGTGCTGAGCACTTGGCCCAAAGTCACAGATCTAGCTTGGAGCTTCCGAGTGATCCCAGGCAGCCTTGGTTCCAGAGTTCAGGAGCAGTGAAAGGCAGATTGCCTGGGTTCAGGTCCAAGCCTGCAGACTTAGGCAGCTTCCTTCACTCTTGGATTCAGTTTCCTTGTCTACAAAATGGTGAATGAAGTATTTCTGATGGGTTTTATGAGAATTACATGAATTGATACATGTAAAGCTGGATATGGTAACGTTGTTAACATTAGTAATAAAACATTATCAGACAAGGACTCTTAGCACATGGATTCCCAGTGTGCTATTAGAGCGGAAAGAGACTTCGTATGTGGGAATTACCTTTGCTTTTTGTTGGAAGGAGTTTGGACGCTGTCACTGCTTTATTTCACAGAGGCAGCTTCACCTGTCACTCACTGGAGACCCTTGTTAGTTACGGGCCTTGTAGAGAGGACACCTGCCTCTCGGTGGACAAATTGTTTGAAATGGTGTTTTTGTTGCA